CCTTACTCTTGGGGGGGGGGGGCTACTTGTTTGTTCCAGACAGTTTGCCTCCTTCTGAGCTAATTATCCTTGCCTAGAAGCAAGGGAGGGAGCCTGTCTCCTTCTGATACCTTGCCCGGGAGGGGAGTAGGGAGTTTACATTAACCTCTTCATTCCTAAATGGAGTTACATTAACCTTTTCAGCAGCCGAAAACCGTATGTTCCCTTCCCATTCTCCCGCTGTTCCCTAGCTTGTCATGCATTCTTTCCAAAAATCGGGACTTTTTAAAAATGCTGCGGGACGTGGGACTATTGTTAAAGATCAGGATTGTCCCGCCAAAAGCGGGACGTCTGGTCACCTTAGTCTAAAAGGAAATCAGAGCCGGAGGATGAACCCCGTGCAGGCCCTGCCTGGGGCTCCCGCCTCGCTCACCCTCAGCCTTTGATTTCCCAGGACTGTTCCGTGATAGAAGAGCATGTTTTAGAGAGAAGCGCCTCCAAAATACGGAAATTTTAAAACATGCTGCTAGAGGCGAGGATGGAAAATGAAATTTGGGCTAGATACCCCACAGTGTACAGCTGAGTTATCCCCTAGTTTCTACTAGAGTGCAGTGGAAGGCCGTCTTTCTACTGATATGAATCCGGTATGGGAAATAAATTACTGGTACCATAAAATCCTGACATACAATACAAAGATGAATTTTAAATCAAAGGGAGAGTAGCAGAAAAATAGAGCAGAATCTTTTAAACACTTTAAATGGATGGCTAGTTAATTGAATAAGCATCTTCTTGTAACTTTCTATAGGTATTTTTAGCTTGTAATCTAAGATCCCTTCATGCCTTCACAAAACTGAGTTGTAAATGTGATGGAATTCAGTGTGTCCTGGGTGTGTGTGGCTCTGGCAGCACTGAATCTCAGATCTCTGGGCAATTCTTCTCTTTTTAATATCATGGAGCATAGTAGCCAGAAGGGAGCAGGAAGCCCAGTGCAGGCCCAGCTCCAGCTTCTGTTGAGGGCCGACTTGCGTTCCAAGTGAGCCATGGTCACATAAGTCTGTAAAGTCCTTATTCTCCCTTCACCCCAAGCTCAGGAATTTGGAGAGTCTTTGTGTTTTAAATTGTAGATAAGGTTCTTTTCACCTTAGTTTAACTCAGCACGTCTCAAATTTATTTGATGACAAAACCTATTTTATTTAGAACACTTTTCACAAACACAGTTTGGGGAATATTGGGCCACAGTTTTATTTAAATACAGGAACACTTCTGAAAATAGGTGAAAGGTTTCATCATGTACATCCATCTATGTGACAGAAACTGTGCTGCCATTAAAAATTTTCAGAGAATACTGTGGGGAAGCAGCTTACAATATGATATATATATATTTTTTTTGAGACAGAGCCTCAAGCTGTCCCCCTGGGTAGAGTGCTGTGGCATCACAGCTCACAGCAACGTCCAACTCCTCAGCTCAAGCAAGTCTCCTGCCTCAGCCTCCCAAGTAGCTGGGACCACAGGTGCCTGCCACAATGCCCAGCTATTTTTTGGTTGCAGCCATCATTGTTGTTTGGCGGGCCCAGGCTGGATTCAAACCCACCACCTTAGGGGTATGTGGCTGGCACCTTAGCCACTTGAGCCACAGGTGCTGAGCCTACAATATGATATTAACTAAAAAAGAAAGCTGTAAAATTATATCCAAAGATTCAAGTTTTGTTTAAAATACATATATATCCATATAAAATAAAACCAGTGGGAAGAAAGTGCCCCCCAGACCTCAGTTGTGGTAGTTGTTTGGTGGTGAGATTGTTGATGAATGTGTTGGGGTTTTTTGTATTGAGATTTCCAAATTGTCTCCAATAAGTATATGATAAATTTATTTGAGACATAGTCTCATTGTGTCACCCTCGGTAGAGTGCGGTGACATCACAGCTCACAGCAACCTCACACTCCTGGGCTTAAGCAATTCTCTTGTCTCAGCCTCCCAAGTAGCTGGGACTACAGGTGCCCGCCACAACACCCCGTTATTTTTTGTTGCAGTTGTCATTGTTGTTTAGCTGGCCCAGGCCAGGTTCGAACCCGCCAGCCTCTGTGTATGTGGCCAGCGCTGTAACCACTGAACTACAGGCACCAAGCCTAATAAATTTATTTTTTTAAAGGTTCTTTTTAAAAATAAATAAGAGGCCAGGCATGGTGGCTTATGCTTGTAATTCCAGTGCTTTGGAAATTCAAGGCAGGAGGATCAGATAAGGCCTGGAGTTCAAGACCAGCCTGGGCAACATAGTGCAACCTGTGTCCTCTACAAAAAATTAGCCAGGTTTAGTGGCACATTTCAGTAGTCCCAGCTACGAGGGAGGCTGAGGTGGCAGAATCCTTTGAGTCCAGGAGTCTGAGGCTGTAGTGATTGTGCCACTGCTCTCCAGCCTAGACAACAGAGTGAGACCTTGTTTCAGAAAAAAGCAAAACAAAACAAAAGGCCAAGCGCTGTGGCTCACACCTGTAATCTTAGCACTATAGGAGGTCAAGGTGGGTAGGTCAGGAGTTTAAGACCAGTCTGAGCAAAAGGGACCCTATCACTACAAAAGATAGAAAAAATTAGTATTGTCATGATGGCTGCCTGTAGTCCCAGCTACTCAGGAGACTGAGGCAGGAGGATTGCTTGAGTCCAGGAGTGTGAGGTTGCCATGAATTAGGCCGAGCCATGAATTAGGCCTGAGAGTGAGTCCTTGTCCCCCCACCCCCCAAACCCCAAAGCCCTCCCAAACCAAAAGGGCACAATATAGGATAATTTTAAATTTTATTTGCTTTCATTTTAAATATAATGTTCCTCATCTTAAATCTTATTTTGCAGATCTGTTCAGCAAACTCTTTAATTCATATGGTATAAATGGCATTTCTGAGATACAGATACAGAGACTTAGAGATGCTATGGCCTAAAAACCCAGGCGGGTTGAGTAGTGAGATCTCCAAGAACAGGTTTTTTTAAGAGACATCCACGACCGGGCATTGTGGCTCACGCCTGTACTCCCAGCACTCTGGGAGGTCAAGGCCAGTGGATTGCCTGAGCTCACAGTTTCAAGACCAGCCTGAGCAAGAGCGAGACCTCATCCCTATGAGCAATGTGGCGGGTGCCTGTAGTCCCAGCTACTCACTAGGCTGAGACAAGAGAATCACTTAAAACCCAAGAGTTTGACCTATGGATAGGTCACATTTTGTGAGCTGTGACGCCACGGCACTCTACCCAGGGTAGAGTGAGACTCTGCCTCAAAAATAAATAAATAAATAATAAAGAGACATTCTTGAAGGGGTAGAAGGGCAGGAAACAGAGGCCTGTGCCAAGACAAGTAATGGTGTCACTTACATCCCAGAAGGGTCTGGGCCTTGCAGAAGATTCTCTTTTTTATTTGCAGTTTTTGGCCGGGGCTGGGTTTGAACCCACTACCTCCAGCATATGGGGCTGGCGCCCTACTTCTTTGAGCCACAGGTGCTGCCCTCAGAAGATTCTTTCTAAAGTAACACTGAAAACACAGACACCATTAAGGAAAGCCACACGTAGTTAGAGAAAGGAGATCTTAGCTCCTGCTTTGTTTCTATTTTCTTAAGAACTGAACAGGGAATGATCACCGTTAGCAAGAGAAAGGGAAGGCTGCTAGGTGAAGAGCTTCTGTGAGCCAGGCCTCAGCTCGGGATGGGACGAACCCACAGTTTATCGACTGGGATGGTGTAAAGGGAATCCAAGAAGCCATGGGACAAATGATTTTTCAGGCCCCTGTTGAGATATATTCTCAGATAAGATTGCCTTTACTTGAAGCTCTTTGAAGAAACCTTCAGTAACCTTCAGTGGTAAGTGGAAAAAGGCTTTGAGACAGTTTGGTTTTGCGCTTTCCCCGTATCTGCCGTGTGGTTTGGGACGGGGTAGTTAACCCTCTGGGTGCCATTTTCCTTGGCTGCCAGGCCTGGCACTCACTAGAGGTTAGTTCCAAGTTAGGGTGCCAGCTTAAGCCTCCATCTGCTCACCCTCAGAGGCCGCCTCTGTGGCCCTAGTTCTCCAGACAGCATTTTTGTTCTCTCTTATTCCTTTTATTTATCCTCAATTCCGTTTCCTCCCCCCCTGCCCCCCACTGTACACACCCACACTTCACATATTTGAAAGAAGTGTAGTTTTTTAAAAAAATAAAAAAAAATCTGGAATAACATGTGATAAAGGATGCACTTCTTTTTCAAAAGCTGCAGAATCTGTTGCCCGGCTCCAGAGAGATTATCATAACCTGTGTCTGGACAAATCCCAGAGAGTTAACCCTTTCATATCGCGCAGACTCCAGGAATTGTATGAAGAGGTTACAAAGGGGTAAGGAAGACAAATACTTGATTCCATCAGTCGTGTTCACTGATTCTCATCCATGTGAAAATCCTGGAATACTGAGTGATTTTATAGCCATTTGAAAATGCTTGGTAAAAAGGACATATCTTTTGGTTCAGATAAGTAAGCAGATGGGCACGATGCTAGTAGGTCTTAGAGACAGTGTTACATACTGAGGAGACAGGAGTCCCCACGCTGAGCTTCAGACTCATCTTTAAGTCCTGTGAACTGGGTGAATTTAGGCAAATCCTTAAAGTTTTCAATGTCATTATTTAAAAGTTGAGATACTTTTCATGTGTGTGAAGAATTAAATTATGCAGTATTTGGGGTGGTGCCTGTGGCTCAGTGAGTGGGGTGCCAGCCCCATATACCGAGGGTGGTGGGTTCAAACCTGGCTCTTGGCCAAACTGTAATAAAAAAATAGCTGGGTGTTGTGGCGGGCACCTGTAGACCCAGTTACTCGGGAGGCTGAGGCAGGAGAATCTCCTAGGCCCAAGAGCTGGAGGTTGAGGTTGCTGTGAGCTGTGATGCCTCAGTACTCTACCAAGGGTGACAAAGTGAGACTCTGTCTCAAAAAAAAAAATTGTGCTGTATATATCAAAGTGCTTTGCCAAGTCTGCAGAATGTTCAGAGGTTTTAAGTTACCTGCAGTGAACCTGCATGTACTGTGAGTGTACTTAGTTCCAGCAAATGTTAGCCCTGGTGTTCCTATTTACACATGAAGCAAAAACACTTTACTTCTTCACTAGGTTTCTTTGTATTTCCAAATCTTGTTTTGTGTTTTAATAGAGGGGAAGAAGGAATAACGTTGAACATTACTGGCAACAGCCGCTTGGCACCAGTAGAGAGAGTGACAGGTGAAGATTTTTGGATTCTTTCCCGAGTTTTAAAGAACTGTCTGTATATTAATGGTACGTCTGCTTAAAAATCAACACCTCCCAGTGTTTACCTGCCTGATTTTAAGAGCTCTTTGTAAGGACCATCAGCTTCTACTCCTCTGTGTCCCGCAGGCTTGGATGTCAGATACAACCTCCTGGGTGACGTCGGGGCTTACTACTCTTCGAAGCTGATTCAGGTACAGTTAAACTGCAGAGTGCTCTTGGTTCTCTTAGGTCGAGGCCACTTTGATGACACACAGAAAGCACTGGTTTTGCACAATGTCACAGGGCCTGACTGGGCCATATTTATAACACTGAAAACCCACTGTGCCTTTGGTCTGAGCAGAGCTGGGACCCAGAGCTCCCAAATGCTTTGCCAACTTGCTGTGGACTGTGGTTAAATACAGAAAGGACACCCATCTTTCAGTAGTTAGTCAAAGCTGAATGTTGTCTTTTTCCTTTTATTTTTATTGTCATCATGTTTTGTTTACATAAAAACAGTGACTCTTTTTCCATAATGATAGTTGGTTTTGCTGGAATTCAGGTTTTCTTTGTTATGTATTTTTTGGAGGTAAGCACATTTATTTAAATTAAGGGTATACCTTTTATATATGTGTATACCTACATTTACAATTGATCGGTTTTCAATAATAATGTGTAATAGTGGCTTTTCTCTCCTTATTATAGAAGCAACTTAATCTGGTTTACTTAAACCTTATGTTCAATGACATTGGCCCTGAAGGTGGAGAAATGATTGCCAAAGCACTGCACGTAAGCATTTACGTCCCTCAAACTAACATTTTATTTGGGAATGTTAACTACTGAGAGCTTAGAATCAACACAGTCAAATGTTAATGTGAACTTACATTAATATTTTATGAATGAATTTTTTTTTTTTTTTTGGAGAAAGTCTCACTATGTCATCCTTGGTAGAGTGCTGTGGCATCACAGCAACCTCCAGTTCTTGGGCTTAAGTGATTCTCTTGCCTCAGCCTCCCTAGTAGCTTGGATTACAGGTGCCTGCCATTACAGATGCCCAGATATTTTTTGGCTGTAGTTGTCATTGTTGTTTGGCAGGCCCAGGCCAGGTTCAAACCCGCCAGGTTCAAACCCGCCAGGTTCAAACCCGCCAGCTCCAGTGCATGTGGTTGGCAGCCTAGTCACTGAGCTATGGGCGCCGAGCCTGGAATTTTTATTGCACTTCAGTTTATTAAAGTGTAGTGTCCTGACCCGTCGGGCTGCTATGGCCCTGGTCTCAGTTAGCACAGGAAGGAACCAGGTGAGAGGCGGATTAGAAGTATAAGCTTGTGGAAGGCGGGCTAGCCCTTACTTTCTGGGTAGCCCCGAGCAACCTCCCCACCAGCCTCTTATTGAAAGGGAATGATACAGGTGAGGGGAGTAATTAACAATGACTATGTGCTGAGGACACCGGCTCTTCCTCCACAAGGAACTCCTGTGGAGGAATGGCCCGAGGTCCACGCCTCAGCTGCAGATCATCTTGCTCGGATGTCATCTGGCTCTTGGCGTCTCCTACAGTGTAGGTATTACATGAATGCTTTTAAACTCATTTTGTAAAAGTAAAGTTTTACTGAGATATAATTACCATATATAAAATTTACCCTTTTAAAGTCTTCAATTCAGTGGTTTTTAAAATACCTTCACAGATCTGAGGAACTTTCACCACTGTCCCTATTTCTGGAACATTTCTGTCCCCCCATGAAGAAGCCTTGTGCCCACCAGCAGCCCTCTCTGCTCTCCCCTCTGACAGTTTCTGGCAGCCTCTGATCTGCTTTCCAGGTGTTAATGTGGATTTGCCTGCTGTGGACACTCTAAGTATAAACAGAGTCATGCAGCATTGGCCAATTGCGACTGGCTTGCTGTTTTCGAGGTCTGTCTATGTTTGATGTGCCTCATTTCTTTTTATTGGCAAATATAATACTCTGTCCTACGGTTAGGTCACATTCTGTTCATCCATTACCCGATGGACATTTGGGGTTTCACTTTTTGGTCCTTCGAAGTGGTGCTGCTGTGGGCATGCAGGTGCTGAGTGGACACGTGCTTTTAATTTGAGGGGTGGTGTATATCTAGGAATGGAACCGCTGGGTCATATGGCGGCTCTTTAACATTGTGAGGAGCTGCCGAGGTGTTTTCCAGAGCGGCTGCACTTTACGGTTCTCCCAGCCACAGGGTGTTGCCCTTGCTCTGCGTCCTCGCCAGCACCTGTTACTGCCTTTCTGAGTTTAGCCGTCCAGGGGGTATGAAAAGGTTCTGTGGTTTTTGATTGGCATTTCCCTAATGAATAATGATATTGGGCATCTTTTCATGTGTTTACTGTCCATTTGTACATTTTTTTGGAAAAAGTCTTTTCAAATCCTTTACTCAGTGTTGAAGGGGGTGTGTTTTTGAGATGTGAGAGTTCTTTACATATTCTAGGTACAAGTTCCTTATCAGGTATGCAATTTGCAAATATTTCCTCTCACTCTGTAGGTAGTTTTTTTCACTACCTTGGCAGTATTCTTTGAAGCATATGAGCATTTAATTTTGATAAAGCCTAATTTATGTATTTCTCCGTTAGTTGCTTATGCTTTTAGTGTTATGTCTTAGGAGGCTTTGCCTAACTCAGACTCACAAACATTTACATGTAAGTTTTCCCTTAGGAGTTTTACATTTTTATCTCTTTTGTTTGGTTCTTTGATCCTTTTTGAATTAATTTTAGAAAATAGTGTAAGGTCAGAGTCTAATTCTGTTCTTTTGCATGAGGATATCCAGTCATTCCAGCATTGCTTGTTAGATTATTTTCTCCTCATTGTTGAAAAGCCTTGACAACTTTGTCACGCACCTCAGTTGACTGTACACTCTGGGAGGATCGCTGGAACTCAAGGGTACCAGCAAGGCATGAGCTAGAGAGAGACTGTCTCTACTAAAAGCAGAAAATCCAGCCAGGTGTCATGAAGGGCACCTGTATTCCCAGCTGCTTGGGAGACTGTACATTCTGGGAGGATCGCTTGAGGCCAGGAGTTTGACGTTACTGTAAGCTGTGACACCAAAGCACTCTACACAGGGGGACAAAGTGAAATTCTGTCTCAAAAAAACCCCCCAAAATCAGTTGAAAGGCCAAGTGCGGTGGTTCACACCTGTAATCCCAGTGCTCTGGGAGGCTGAGGTGGGTGGATTGCTTGAGCTCAGGAGTTTGAGACCAGCATGAGCAAGAGCAAGACCCTGTCTCTACTAAAAATAGAAAAGCTAAGGTAAGAGGATCATTTAAGTCCAAGAGTCGGAGTTGCTATAAGCTTTAATGACGCCACAGCATTCTACCCAGAGCAACAGCTTAAAAAAATCAGTTGACCTGAAATGTGAGGGTTTATTTCTATAGTCTGAATTCTATTCTGTTACTTTATTCAGTACAGTGCTATTCATTACTGTAGCTTTGTAGTGAGTTTTGAAATCCAGAAGCAAGGTTTCTAACCTTGTTCCTTTTCAGATTGTGTTGACTCTTCTGTGTCCTTCACATGACTTCAATATGGATTTTAGAATCAGTGTATCAATTTCTATAAGAGCAGGACCTGGGATTTTGATAGGAATTACAATAAATTTGTAGATATATTTGGAGAGTATTGACATTTTAACAACATCAAGTCTTCCAAGACTTGAACATGAGATATGTTTCATTTATTTGGTCGTCTTTAATTTCTTTCTTTCTTTCTTTTTTTAGAGACAGAGTCTCACTTGGTCGCCCTTGGTAAAGTGCTGTGGCATCACAGCTCACAGCAACCTCCAATTCCTGGGCTTAGGCGATTCTTTTGCCTCAGCCTCCCAAGTAGTGGGAACTATAGACACCCACCACAACTCCTGGCTATTTTTTTGTTGCAGTTTGGCCAGGGTCGGGCTTGAATCCGCCACCCTCAGTATATGGGGCCGGTGCCCTACCCACTGAGCCACAGATGCTGCCCTGGTCGTCTTTAATTTCTTCCAACAATGTTTTATAGTTTTCAGTTTGTAAGTCTTGCTTTTATTTACTTAAATTTATTCCTAATACAGTAGAACTTCTATTAGCTGACCCACCAAGGGACTGTGACAAACTGACCAACACAAGGAGGTGGTCAGCATAAGGAACAAGGCCTACTGTACTGATACACACATGTAGTGAGTGTCTGCTCTGTGAAAATTAGGTCAATTTAGGGCCAGGCGAGGTTGCTCAGGCCTATAATCCTAGCACTTGGGAAGCCCACGGATTTCGAAACCAGCCTGAACCAGAGTGAGATCTCATTTCTGAAAACATCTGGACATTGGCTTGACACCTGTAGCTCAGCGTCTACAGTGCCAGCCACATACACTGGAGCTGGTGGGTTTGAACCCAGCCTGGTCCTGCCAAACAACAATAATAGCTACAACCAAAAAATAGCCGAGCATTGTGGCAGGCGCCTGTAGTCCCAGCTACTTGGGAGGCTGAGGCAAGAGAAACACTTAAGCCCAAGAGTTTGAGGTTGCTATGAGCTGTGATAGCACGGTACTTTACCCAGGACAACATAGTGAGACTCTGTGTCAAATAAATAAATAAATAAATCTGGACATTGTGGTGGGCACCTGTAGTCCCAGCACTTGGGAGGCTAAGGCAAGAGGATCACTTGAGCCCAAGAGTTTGAGGTTGCTGTGAGCTATGACGCCACAGCACTTTACTGAGGGTGATGAAGTGAGACTTTGTCTAAAAATAAATAAATAAAAAAAATAATTTGGTAAATTTAAGGAGGGAGTTAGTGTAGGGAGGTGGTCAGCTATGGAGGTACTACTGTGTATTTTATTCTTTTTGATGCTGTTGTACATGGATTTTTTTTGAAAAGACAGGATCTTATTTTGTTACCCAGGCTGGGGTGCAGTGGCTTAGCTCACAACAATCTCAAACTTCTGGGGTCAAGTGATTGTCCCGCCTAAGAAGCTGGGACTCCACGTATGTGCCACCATAGGTGGCTATTCTGTTTTTTTCTGTAGAGACGGGGTCTTACTGTGTTGCCCAAGCTGGTCTCAAATGCTTAGGCTCAGGTGATCCTCCTGCCTTGGCCTCCCAAGATGCTTGGGTCACAGGTGTGAGCCACTGTGCCATGGTGGACTTGTTTTCATAATTGCATTTTTGGGTTGTAAATTGTTAGCATGTACAAAGTCACTTTATTGTGTGTGCTGATCTTGTACTCCGTGTTGATGAACTAGGTGATCATTTGTAACAGGTTTTTTCAAATCATCTGAAATGCACAGCTATGTGTCTTTTCCAGTTTGGATATTTTTTCTTTTTCTTGCCCAGTTGCTCTGGCTAGAGCACTTAGAACCTCTGTGGTGGGAGTCCAGTTTGTATTGAAGTCTAGGCCAGACATTTCTGGAGGACTTACAGCCAGAGTCCCAGTTCCTCAAACCCCGTAATGCTGACATGTGGCGCTTGAGGCTGGCAATAGGCTGGTGGTTTCCAGGAGTGTCTGGCCCCTGGCAGCTCAGGGCTCGCATTCCAGAGGCCCTGCTTGTCCAGAGTCCAAGATGCTGCCCTTCCAGGTGCATCAGACGCCAGACTGATACCTTGTGGTCAAAATCAGGAATGCTTAGCAATTAGAGATTACTATAGTCTGAGTCCTGCCCAGGTATAGGTGGAATCCCCGAAGTGAGGAAGGGAAGTTCAGCCCCGGTTTGTGTTGTAATCACCTGGTACCTACACCATTTCCCTTCTTTTGTTTCCATTCTTCTGGTTATTAATGATTACTTGGGGCACCTTGCTTTGAATAACTAAAATT